CTGGGGATGTCGCGTTGTTTCCAAGCAGGAAAATAGTGAAAAGAAAGTCCGTTTTCCATCTTTTTACCTTCGGTCGTGTGAAAGGACATTAGACCCAATAACGCAGCAAGTTCGTGCCATAGCTAAAATATCTGTGAGACAGTCGTTTTTGTCGGTGGCAACAAAGATGGCGCTGATACCCCTCAGACTAGAGCAGTGACGTCACGCTCCGAAGCGCTAAGACTATCCATCCTACATCGTGGCACTGCGCATGCTCAGCCTGATAATAGAACACACGCACAAAGTTTGGAAAAACTGACGTGGCAGCACAGATCGTCAAAAGCGGTCGTCATTATGACGCAATAAATGTCGGTGACATAAAGCTGACTAGTTTGTAAAACGCACCGAATTCATTTGCCAGGACCGAGCAAAGCAAGAAAGACTTATATTAAGTAGGTGAGTAAAATGGATGAACTTAAACTGCTTCTTAGAAGTAGGTGCTCAAAATATGAGCAGGAGATCAAAAAGCTGAGAGAATCTTTGCATAATCTGCAACTTGAGGCAGAAGACAGAGAAAAGAAACTCCGAAGTGAATTAGAACAACTTTCAGATGAAAACTCTAGATGTAAAACTAGATGTAAAAACAAAATGTCAATACTAACACGGAATATTATGGAATCCGAAGAAAGAAGAAAGATCCAATGCTCTCTGACAGAAGAAAATCGTGTACTGAAAGCCGAAGTCACTAGGCTGAAGTCGGAGGAAACAGCTTTGATAGATGAATATACGATTTTAAGAAACTCACAAGAGAGTTCTGAGAAAAAGATGTTGTACTTGGAGGAGGAAAACAGAAAACTTAATGCTCAAAAAATAAAACAACAAGAGCGCCTGGAAAGTGAAATGTATGAACTGGCAGAGTCTCTGAGAGATTCAAATAAGAAATTGAAAATAAACCTTGAGACAAAACAAGAAGAACAAAAACAGCTGGAAAATGTTGAAAAAACCATAAAAGAGAAATTTGATGTTATGGATGAGCATACAGAGCTGCTAACACCAAACTTTGCAGTTGAAACCCAACAAGTTTGTTGTAAAGATTTTTCAGCCTTTACAACTGAAAAATCAACTCAAATGGAAAATCTGAGCAATGGTTGTAAGCAGACAAAATATTTTGCCAACAAATCTACACAGACTGAGCATTTCATTTCGAAATCGATGGAAAAATCGACTCAGACTGAATGTGCGGCTTGTAAACTAAAGGAGCTTCAGACTCCATCTAAAACATCAACTCAAACACAAACTTTAAAAAGCAAATGTAGGCATGTAAGGACTTCTACTAGAAATATGACTTCAGCTAAAACTTTAGCCCATGAATCTAAGCAGCCTAAATCTTTTGCTGAGAAATCACCGGAAATGGAAACTTCTGCTAATTCTAAGAGTTGGTGGGGTATGTGTGTGGATGGATTAATATTTGCTGGCAAATACACCCTGCTAGGTTTTTTACAAGCAGCGATAACAGCAAAGGTTTGTGAAATTGCAGCAAATTACTACTTTTCCAACTCATAAAATTCCTTTCTAAGGAATAGTATTTTTTAGAAACGTCCTCTTTCTTCTGATAATGCTGACATTACTGTAGCATTATCAGTAATGTTTATTCTGTTAAATTACCAAGACTTTAACAGAATAATTATTTAATAAAGTATTTCCTTAGTATCTAAGGAAACTAAAGAAACTCTTACATTCACTATCAAAGTCTCACATTCACTATCAAAGTCTCACATTCACTATCAAACTCTGAGTGGATGGATGGATGGATGGATGGATGGATGGATGGATGGATGGATGGATGGATGGATGGATGGATGGATGGATGGATGGGTTGGTGGGAGGATGAATGGATGGGTGGATGGATACAGAAAAAACTGAAAAATAATTACAAATGTCCACTACAGAGGACAATTTTTCAACTTTTAAATACTACGATAAAGTATAGTCAAAATAATTCATAGAATGTTTTAATATGCTGCTAACAGACTTATTTAGAATATGCCAACAAAATTTTAAACCAAAATTTGCACAATAAAAAGTTTTATGCACTTACTTAGTCTCTCCCCATAAAATGTGCTTGTACTGATGAACGTAATTTTTATGAATGAGAAAAAGGCACGTACAAAAGCCCCACCCCTTCACATGTGGTATCATTGAAAAGCCCTAAATGTCCTCTCTAGATACCAAAAGGAATTAATTCAGTAGAATGCAGGGGGTGGGAGATATTCAAGTTTAGAAATGTCCTCTAGGAGGACAAAAATGAACTACTGGTAGTCAGGAGGATAGTCTATGAATGTCATGTTCATTTTGAGCTGCTAATGAAGCATTTAAATCTCTCTCCTCTCTGCTCTGAACTCTCCTGATAGAAATAATTACGGCATTAATAAAGGCCTGTTAATGACCAATAAGTTATTATCAACTGTGCTGAGGCAGGAAGCACACAATCTCTGCCATTATTAACTACTGCTGTGCAATCTAGATTTTCACTAACCTTCAAGTTTTAGACTCTCATGTACTTTAGTTTTTTATAATAGTTCTAAATTGATCTTATATGTTTACTAGAATACCACTGCTTGGGGAAGTAAAATCAGCCAAAGATGCAGATTTTCACCTAAGCACAACCTTAATTAGTGGTAAAGAAATAGAAATTTATGCAACATATTAATTAAATGAATTCCACTTTCAAAACACATTTTAAATCACAAGCTGAGCCTCTTCTGTTTTTACAAACACACTAATTAGATAAAATAATAGAAAGCTCAACATTTGACTCTGCCCATGACTGAGGGATCTCTTGGCTGGCATCATGATGTCATGATGTCATGATGTCAAGGTCTTTTGTATTTGCATGTATTTACGGTAATTGAGTTAATAAAATTCAACCAAACAAGTAATAAAAATGACTTTTAGTAAATAAATGTGAAAAATGTCTCTTTGTGTAATTATGTTTGCATTCAGTACTTGAATCTTTTGCATGAATCAGGTAGACGTGCTGCACTGCTGAAGTGTTCAGGAAGCTCATGTGGTTGTGATAGCAGCCTTCAGGTCGTCTGTATTGTTGTTTCTGGTGATTCTCATCTTCCTCTTCATATTTCCTGAATCCTCAATGGGATTTAGGTCAGGCTGGTACGCCGGCCAATCAAGCACAGTAACACCACGGCCATAAAACTGAAAAGTGTACGATGTGCAGCACAGCAGTGATGTAATTTCATATATTTCAAGTCACTGTGGATGAAAGTAAAACCTGTTTTCATTGTTGCTCTTTTGTTGACAGTTTCAACAGACAAAATAGCATCAATTCCTCAACTTGACATTCTTATTTTTTACGTAATTAGCTGAAGGCCTAGTTTTTATAATTGGTAGATAATAGCCCAATGAGTGCAAAGTGTCCCCAGTTATGTGCCATTCTTTTTGTTATAAATGATCTATTGATGCCACACTGAGAATAAACAAACAATAATACTGAGGGGTTGTGTGGTGGGGGACATAAAGCTGAAGGGATAAAATACTCTGGGATGAACTTTAGCTGAGGGTAAAATATGAAACTCTGCATCATTTAGTCTAAGTTTCCATCCAAGCCTTGGGACAGAGCCGTGTCTATTTTTATCAAGATGAGTTGTTTATTTTTAGCTGCACCTCTCCCAAATGTTCTCAGCATAATGTGTGGTTTTGGCCCTGATTTGGCCTGCACACAATTTATAGGGATGCTTCAATATTTACAATATTTATGTCAGGCTTACACTTTCTGTGTATGAGCACTACAAGTCTTTTCTAATGGCTGAGAAGTAATTAAGAGCATTAAATTACAGACACAGAGCAACTGCCAATCTTGTGAATTGATTTTTTATGTACATGGAGCAGTCTGTTAGAGATACGAAGTTTAACTAAAACATTTGTATAAATAATTATTAAGTTATCAGCTTGCATATAGGTAGATTTGGACAAGTAAAAACGTTTTAGGGGAAGAAACTGAAGAAAACAGTTGATTCAGTAACTTTGTTCAATTTACTTTAACTGCACCAAACTCAACGTCTAACAGCAGTTTTGATAGCAGCATTGTTCCTAGCTGTGACCCTGATTGACTGAGCACAACCACTATAGCAGTTTACTCTCAGTGCTAATAATCAGTTATTAAAGCTGATACTGTTGAATCAGTTTATAGGATGGATTTAAAAGTCTATAAGCTTATTTAAATGAACATAATTGTAATGCAAAGACAACAGAATCTAACATCCTATAAAAAAAACTCTTATCTATCTACACTTTGCACATCCTAAATTTAAAAAGTAATTCATGAGATGTGTTGGGCAAAACAAAAGCATAATCCTGAAGAATGAATACTGGAAACTATAAATGAGTCATTTAACCTGCAGACATTGGTACTATTCATGGCAATATAAGCTACGTATATTGTGGCTTTTATTGAATGTTTTTTCTCCATGCTTGTCCATTTCTGGACCTGTGATGGTTGAACTTGTTAATCTGGGATTTCTGGAACAGACTTCAGTCTCCCTTCAACCTTAAACAGGATTAAGCAAGAATATAAAATGATGTGCAGCGATTTGAGCGTCTGTAAACCAAGGAATAGAGAAGAAAAACTATGAGGGTGAGGTATAGAGACATTGCAGTGAATCATAATAAACATTAGGGAAAATATTTGTTGCTGGAATAGAGCAGAATAACTTGAGAGAAGTTGGACCCCGTCATCTTCTTCAAATTACACAAAATTGGTGTCAAACGTTTGTGCTGTTATCATTTTAAAGATGAATGTTTCCTGAGATCATCAAAGATCAACCATATGCACCTAAAAGAATGAAGAAGCCACTCAGTTTGATAGCAACAGACTTATATTATGCAGGAACATGAATTATTTGTTTTGGTAAAATTAAAGATTATTTCCACTATGATCATTGTTCATAGGGTTTGATCTCATCCAATAACTTGGTGACCGATCTGTCCAAGAACTTTGCCATGAATAAAGAACAAGATTCTTTTTTATTGCAGATCATTTCAGAACAATGAAATTTCAACACATCATGATTTGGCAACACATGAATACATAGGCACTTCTTGAAGCCAATTAATCCAAGTTCTGGTTAATTGACTTCAAATCCTAATAAATTCATGGTGTAATTTTTTAATGAACAACAGAGTTAAAAACTGTTCATTAAACAGTGAGACAGAACCAAACAGCACTTTTACAATAAACACATCTTGAATTGTATTAATGGTACTCTCACTAGAGTTACAACTTCAACCAGGATATCACCTTTCCAAACAGCATATTTCATTTAGGATTTGGCGAACGGCATCCCAGTGTTTCAGTCTGACTCCCCATGCCAGACGCATCAAAAGGAAAGCACCTCAGACATATTCCATGAGGTATATTTCACATTTCCTGATGTCACGTTTTCAGATGAACTCGTCTTGCACCGACAGGCTGCCATAAATATTCTGCTTATGATGTGCAGCTGTCACCGATGAGCTTTTCACAGCGCGATCTGTCGTCTCTCGCTACGTTTTCTGGGCTCTCTCCTCCACGTAGAGCTGCATCTGTGACAACCAAACAAACAAATATGAAGAGCAGTAAACAGAGAAGCTTAAACACGTGACATGAAAGACATTGTACCAAACAGCTCCGCAGGAAATGTTCGACACGTTCAAACATCACATTGATTTTGGTTTTATTTTTCCTTCAGCTGACCTTCACTATGTCGGACGTCATGGACTTCAGTGGAATGAGTCTCGGCTCCTTCATGTGAACTTCCTGCTCGTCTGCGACGATCCATGGAAAGTCCTGAAGATGTAAGAGGACACAAGAGGCTGAACACATGCAAATGGTTGTTTTGTGTTTACATTTGATAGCAAAGTCAACCTTTTCACGTTTTGTCACATTTCAATTTCTATGTATTTAACTGGGATGTCTTCTGACAGACCACAGTTCATGCTCAAATGTCCAAATTTGATTTTTGGATAAGGTCAAAGGTCAGGAAGAACTAGGGCTGAACAAATTCCCTTCTTATTTTGTTGCAATTAAAAGAAAGTTGAATGGAAAGTTGAACTGGATATTCAGTTTAAACTGAATTAGGTTTAATGTAAAAAAAAAAAAGTGTATTTCTTCAAGGATTAAGAAAATAAATCAAGCGGAACCTAAAAAGTAAGAAATCACTGAAACTTTAAAACAGGGGTCCCCAAACTACGGCCCGCGGGCCGAATCCGGCCTGCCTCCACATTTGGTCCGGCCCCCTGAACAATACCAGAGAGCATTCAGATTTATTGTATTTTCGGGTTTATATGTGGATTTTTCTTCTATCACCTGGGGGCTCTTTACCAGGAAGTGTGTCCTGTAAACTGTGGGTGTTTTGTTTTGCATGGCGCATTGCTGCCATCTGTTGGACTTTTAGGGAACTGCTTGACTTTTACATTATTTAATCAGTACGGTTGTTTGCTAGCGGTAGAGCAGATGAACACACGTGTCTGTTATGAAGGCTGCATTCCAGGTTGAATTCTTCGAAGCAATGCCTGTAAGTAGCAGTTTATACTTCAAAACGAGCCTTTATGTTAACATATGAGAAATTATTAATATATTATAGTTATATTTCCTCAATGGAAAATATACTAGTTAGTCCCAGTGACCGTTTCACTCATGGTTTTTGCCCATGTGCTTTCTGGGTAAAAATCAATTGAGAAACGCACCTCCCCCTCCCCCGTCAACAATTTCCGGCCCCCCACCAGAGAAGGGAAAAGTTATGTGGCCCTCACAGGAAAAAGTTTGGGGACCACTGCTTTAAAACAAGAGACAGAATAAGTAAGTTACACACTAGAAGCATTTCCCAAATTGTAATGACTTATTTATTACATTTAACATTATGTAATAATAATAATAATACCCTCTTCAGTGAGTTCTGAAGAGGGTATTATTGAGAGAAGAGGGATTATTTCAGACTATTAATTGAAAAAATCTGTTGAAAATAGTTCAATAAATAAAACAATACCCATATTTATTTAATTGTGTTTGCAAAGTACTTTAAAATCTACCTGTGAGTAATTTGCACATTACTGTTTTTTAGCATCCGGAAAGTATTCACAGCGTCTCACTTTTTCCACATATTATGTCAGAGAATATTTCAAGTTGTTTTAAATGAATCACTCTCTCCTATTTTCCAGAAATTTGAAAACATATCTGCACCTTTTTTTCCACATTGTCATAATTTAGTATTTGTGTAGAATTTTGAGTAAAGACATGAATTTAATTCAATCAGGAATAAGGTGAGAACATAACAAAATGTGGAAATGTGCTGTGAATGTTTCCTGGATGCACTCTATAAGAAAGTAACACACATCTCAATATAAAGTAAACCAACACTGTAGAAGATGCATAAATACTTCACAACTGATAACCAGCATGCTATTTATGTACTTGTTTCTTTTTTGTTTTGGGATTTCTTTGGTTTCAGTTTTGCCAATGACTGATATTCGTTCCCCCAGAGTTTCCTGACAGTTTGCTTTGCTTTATATCTACTTTGCTGTATAACTCTGCTAATCAAATTTTAGAAAGCTGACTTACTGCTCTAACATCACTTTGCCTAAAACGCGTCACTTTCTCGTTTACTTCTGGAAAAACAGGCTGACCTACAATTAACAAATGCATTTAATTTTGGAGGGCAGTACAATAAGGGGGGCTGAACATAAATGCAAATGACATGTTTTAATCTCACACTAAAAAATTCCATTACAGTGTATGGAAGATTGTTGTCTTGTAAACAAAATGTGAAAAGGCATAGGGTTATAAATAATTTTACAGTCTTGAAAAACACTCACCTTAATGACTTGAACCTTCTCCATGTTGCGTGTAGCAGCATCTCTGGTGTGCACAAGCACTGTGAAAGAACAACCTGAGACAGAAACGACACATTTCACCGTTTTTATCATTTCTACATCTTTTTACTGCTGTCGACTTGGCCTGCCAAGATAGCCAATTTTTCTGGACCATAAATTGTCCCAGAAACGATTGTGATGAATGATAATATTGTCGCTTTGAGACCATTTTCAGCTAAAATGTTGATAACAGCATAATAATGCAAGTTCAACCTCTCATAGGCTAATTAATAATAATAATAATTTTCTACACAACATGCCACAATGGAACTGCAAGACATTTTAAATATCCAAAATGAAACACATCTGACAAAAATAAATAAAACAAGCAAGGAAATAAAAACTAAGAACAA